TGTGTGTGTGTGTGTGTGTGTGTGTGTGTGTGTGTGTGTGTGTGTGTGTGTGTGTGTGTGTGTGTGTGTGTCCCCTTTCATACACCCGGAGTTGCGTCTCAGTAAGTGTGAGCTCCATGCATCTGCTCATAGCGGAGTGTTTGTGTTCGCTTCTCACCTGTTTAGTTAATGAGGATGCCCGTCGAGCGTCCCTCCTCCTCTTTAATGTTCTTCAGGTTATTCTCTGCCTCGTCCACAGTGCTGCGCGGCAGACACACAAACCAAAAATGTAATTATTGTATTTAAAGAAAGGCTAAGAACACATTTCAAGCAGTGAAAGTGGTGCGTGTGCTTCTACATGTGCATAAATATGTGTGTGTGCTTACGTTAGAAAATCCCTGACGTCCTCCACAGTGATCTCTCCGGTGGAGTCGAGGGTGATGTCAGCACAGCTGAGGGGGGAGTCCAGCGGGGTGTCCAGGATGGGAGAGGACAGGGAGCTGGGAGACTCTTCCGTTTGTCCTGTGAGGGAGAAACCCACAGAGCCGGGGACTGAAGCAGACTGACAGCAATGTGTGCTGCTGGAGGACATTTAATGGAAAAGTTTCCCTGGTAATGTCGGATTGAGTGAATACAATGTCGGCAGTAGTTTAAAAACAAACTCAGACAGTTGATTCAGAAACCATCTGATCTCATAACCCCCGACAACATGTTTAAATTTAATGAAGATTAACAGAAACAGGCAGTTCAGCAGCACAAATAAAGATGGCTGAAATCTGTATTTTTGTTTCCTCTCTCCGAGTTGAAGTGTTGCTCGAGTCACATTTTCTTCCAAGTCGAACCTGTTTTCCCTCAAAGCTCTAAATCAATCATTTTACATTTAAAATGGATCGTAGTGACGAACAGACAGAAAATTAAGCATCTTTCAGCTGACTGTTTCTACGTTGTTTTCTCACTCTTACTCTTCTCATAGAGAGCAGCAGAAAGCTGTTTTCAGCAAAAAGACAAAATCTAAAATTTGACTGTTCACTACCTGCTTAACACCAAACTGCAGATACGCAAAGTCAGCAATGAGCTGGAGAACACAGTGGAGCATTTAGCAGCTAAAAGTCCAGATGTTTCCATTAGGAGTTGGTGGAGACCAAAAGAAAGGGCTAAAAACAAGAGTAAACAAACCAAAGGAGAAGAGGATCTGGAATGGCAACCGACACTATGCGAGCCACATATAATATTAGTGAGACACAAAACTAACAAACCTCACATTCTGCTTCATTCATCATCAAAAAACACCAGTTAGCAACATGCCAAGTCCAGTAAAACTGTTTTCTACTGTAAACATACCTGTTTTTAATGGTGCATTAATGCTTAGAATATATTCATGTTGCCTACATATCAATGTGTGAGTGCCGGTGAAAGGCCGACTGAGACATAAACAAACCCAAATCTGAGGGGTATGCAGAGGCATGCTGAATGGCTACCATGGAGACCGGAGGGGAACCCCTGCGAGGCAGTTTAAGAGGCTCAGAGAGAGAAGAGAGTGATGAAGAGGGGAACGTGGACAGGGGGAGACAAAAGGGTGTGTGTGTGTGTGTGTGAGTGTGTGTAGACGTACCCTCAGCCTGACCCATCGGGTTCTTGTGGGTTCCGTTGGCCTGCGGCGGCGCCGTCGCACCGTCGCTGAAACAGACACACGAGCGCACACACCGTTTACTTTGGCAGCAGATGGAGTAATAATGCTATAAGCGTAGTAATAACGGTGGTACCACCAATAATAGCAGAATAATGTGTGCGTGTGCGTGTGTGTTACCTGGCCGGTGTGTGCTCTAGCGGTCGGTCCAGCTGAACGGAGCAGAGCGGTTCAGTGAGGATCTTGGCAGACAGCGAGAACCTCTCGTACTCTGAGGGAGAGATCAGGTAAAACCCTGGAGAAGAAAATAAACAGACACAGTTTAAAAATCATGATTATGAAACTTGGGATTCATTGGCAACAATGTTTCTACTACAAACAAGCGGACAGTGAAGTGTGCAGTTTGTCTGGAGACATTACTTCAGTGAGGACCACATTCCCCTTCACTGTATTGTGATGAAGGCAGAAGAGCAGAGGTCTCAGATCCTAAACTGTCTGCATGACTGGATACCAACGAGCCAAGAGGAAAGATATTTTTTGGTGTAATCTGCGTGAAATTACTCTTTAACCTCACTTTTTGATTTTTACTGAACTTAAATAAAAAAAATCTCGCGTGTTTTCCTCACCCTGTCCGTTCTTTGTGAAGACGCAGGATGCGATGCCGCTGATGTCTTCTTTACGGACGCAGTCGTAGCGCACCTGAAGATGCACAAAACAGACATTAATTAACCGGTGCCTCGTGAATAATTCAGTAAAACTTGTCTAATATACTAATTGCACAATTACATCAAAATACACACACAAGCGCTAGACTTTGGTTCCAACACACGCATGCACACAATCCCCTAAAAGCCCACCTGTGGTCGGAGGGCAGGTATGTTGAACAGGTGCATGTCGCCCAGGTTGGTCAGACAGACCAGAGTGTGTTCACAATAGTCTTCCTGAGCAGCGGAGCCGAACATCACCAGAGCCACCTTCCTCACCCGACAGCCTTCGTGTGCCGTCAGCTTGAACTTGGTCTTTGCGCTCACCTTAGGGAGAGAGAACACCTGGAGAGGGGGGGGGGGAGAAGAGAGAGAGCGAGAGAGAGAGAGAGCGAGGAACGTCAACAGTCTCCCAGGATTTATTAAGCCCAGTCTCAACCCGTTATATCTTTAAATTTCCTCACGAAATAAGAATAAAAAAAACAAGCACACACCTACTGACTAGACAACTACCAACTACATTTAATGTGTAACATATTATAACACAGTTGTCTTTTCCAGCCTTTACCTTCAGCTGTTCCTCTGAGGCGATGAGGACAGAGTGAGCGTTGGTCACATCCGGCGCGCTGGCGAGGTCCTGGGAGGCTTCGTACGGGTCCGGTAGCGGTTTCCCCCGGCCGTCCAACACGGAGATGGACACCACGGGGGCTCTGTGCATCAGCTGGATCTCTTTACCCAAAACCGCCTCCACACACACACTGCTCTCGCCCGCTCCGCCCCGCTCACACACGCGCCCAGAGCCGACGCCGGGCACCTCCAGAGCGTAGGCGTACACACTGCCCGAGTTGGTGCCCGCCCAGAGTGTGGGGCCGTGGTGTGTACCTGGTAGACACGGACACGCAGTTAGAGCTGAGGAAAACAGATGTTTGATGTCCTTCTGATACTGGTAAATTTGACTTCTCACCACACAACTTATTTTCCCAATAATAGTAATACAGTTACTGTTCTGTTATAGTCAGAGCTCCACATTAAGCTCATGATCTAAACGACTGAAGTAAACACACCGTCACGTAGAAAAGTGTCAGCGAAGCAGAGACATCGGACCACTCCAGACAGCGAGTCGTCTGCTGACCGGGGTTCGATCCTTCGCTGTATGGGAGCCACGTCCTCCTGCTCTGCTAGAGCAGCGTTGGCCTCCTGAACCTGCACATGACACGGTCACAAAGAGCAGAACTTAATTCAGTCCGTACGATGTGTGCGGCCCTCTCAATGGCTCTCAGTGGCCCAAGTCAGTTACCTTGCTGGTGGGTGTGGTGATGGGGCGTTTCTTGCCCGACACCCGGCTCTTGCGGATGCGTCTGAAGCTCTGTCGTAAGGACTTTTTCAAGGACTTGACTCTGGACAGGGGGCCCTCCATCGCCAAGGAGTCATTAGGGTGCAGGGTGCACCTAGGAGAACATACAGAACAGTAGGGTGATTGCAATATGGTCAATTTTTGAGCTTGACTTATCCAGTTTATTTTACTGACATTGGCCAAAAGAGCATGTTGTAGCATGTGTGTGTCATGTACAAAACGTGCATGTGCCAGAAATTAAGGAAAAGTAAAAGCCCAAACATAACAACCTGAGCTGTGTGTGTGTGTGTGTGTGTGTGTGTGTGTGTGTGTGTGTCTAACCTGGCCAGCACAGCATTTCGTCTGTGGTAGTCAAACAGACCAAATCCATGACTCGTCCCGAAGGAGATCAGGTTCCACTCGGCATGCAGGGCCACCGCCGTAACAGAGGCCGGGGGCATGCACTGCACCAGCACCAGCGGCTGAAAGCCCGGAGGGAAGGAGGCGGGTTTGAGGCGCGGCTCCAGCCGGTCATGGCCCTTCCAGGTGAAGCCCTCTCTGTCCTGCAGCAGATCGACCACCGACACATCCACCACGTGGTCCGAACGCTCGTCGCTCAAACCCAGAACAATCACCTGGAGAGCCGGAAGAAGTGAAGAAACATCATGGCTGCTTTTTGTTTATTTCAGTGTCTTTTTTTACCTTGTCGACTCTATCTTATTGTATCTAAAAATATACAAGAGGAATCAGAGGTTCTAGCCTCAGACGTTGTTTGACACAGTTTTTAAAGGTTTCATAACTTCCAATCCCGCATTATTTTAAGAAGCAGCCGTAAGAGAAGGCGGTGCTATTGAAAACAAGTTAATAGCAGCTAGTTTATCATTAGTTGGGGCACGTCTGTCATTAATTTATATGCAAGCTGCACTTTTACAGTATGTGCTCTTTGATAGCAGCAGAGCGTGAATATTCTCTTTCCAGGAAGAAGCCAAGTGATATTCTAAATGTGCTGCAATTAATATATTTGGTTTAAATATTCATCCACATTCTCCCGAGGATGAATGATAATGTGTTCAGATCCTCGAGCACCACTATCGGGCCAGAATCTCCACAGAAATATATGAATCTGACGAGGCGATGGTCATGAAATATATTCAGCACATGCCCCACTTGGGATGAAACCGTCCGACATCTGAACCCCACCACTACTAAAGCTTCATTAGCAAAGCGGTCAGTATGTTGATTTTATTTTTATCATTATTGTGGGGAGCATAAACACTCGAGTACAGTTAGTTGTTGTACTTGTACCTCCACTTAGCCCAGCTACACCCATCACAGCTGAGCAGCTATGAAGTGTAGCAGCACTGGTGGGCAAGTTAATCAGCTGGCTTCATCTCATGCAGAGAAAACAACACGAGGCCATTTAAAAAAATCCCATTTGAACTTTCAAGTCAAACAGCCTAATTATTCGCGTCATTAGCAAATTAACCGTTGGCAAGCAAAGAATACAGTTCGGTCTTCATTATCAACTAGAGAAAGTGTGTATTGTACTGACCTGCATTATTTATATGGCATCTCTCCATTCACAGCTTAATAACAGAATTCAATACAAAGCGACTTTGTTCTCCCACTGTGGAGGTTTAACAGTAGAATCATCTCAGCAACATATCATCTCAATAGTTATTTAAACCACATAACGGATGATGATGGTTTCTGGATGAAACACGATCGTTTTTGCCAACAATAGATGAAAAGACCATTTTATCTGAGAGACTGTGCTTTGTTTCTTTAAAACCACGTATAAAAACATAAAATGTATGTACGATTAATTTACCTGTCCAGCAGTTCCAGACACCACCAGCTTGTTGCTGTATTTGCACAGACTGATCTTCTGGATGCCCAGTCTGGGGTCATCGCTGTACGGGTCAAAACAGCCCACCTACACACACACACACACACACACACACACACACACACAAATTAGGCTTTTATTCTAGTAGATAGTGTTTCCTTCTAAACTCTCCAACTAGCTCTCTGAAACATCTTTGATCTGAATTGACCACAAACCAATTCAGTTCATGCACACCAACGTCAGAGCACCTCCTGAAAGCTCTCCTCCTTTCTCTCCTCCTTCCTCTCCTCCTTCCTCACCTCTCCGCCAAATGCCAGGACAATCCCTCTTCCCCCTCGTACACACTCAGCAAAACGTGAATTAATCCGTCTCTCCACACAGTAGGAATTCCAATAGAATCCCCTCTCACATGGATGTCGGCAAAACAAGGAGTAGTGGGTCACTAACGCACACACACATCCACAGAAAGAGTGGACTGATGGGTCTGGTTTTCATTACACAGGAGGAGAAGAAAAAAAAAAAAAAAGGGGAAAGGCTCTTCATCCCGTATGAGGGCCACATTCCTGAACATGCAGCTCTGTTACCACAGGATACATGAGGAAAGGTGGGGGGCGAAGGAGTGAATAGGAAGAAAAGAGGCCAAAAACTAATTAAATCTATTTGTCACCGTTAAATGTATCGCGCTTAGCCCATTTCTGCCATTAAATTCTTAACACATGACGACAGTCTTCCAGTGACAGCTTCCTCCTGAGCCCTCTCTGAAGGAACAAAATAAAGAACTCTAAATCGCTGCCATCTACAGATGAGATCCCAGATAATAAATGCTCATCTTGGTCATAAGTCCAGACACAGAAACATTTCCAACTGTAGATCAATACATTTAAATTGTTTTAAATATTTAAAGCTGAACGACTCAGTCTGTTTCGCTCCGCATAGTATTCTTCCTCTCGATGCTGAAACAGTTCATTTAAATGTAATTCTGAGCAGAAAACGGGCCATTAAAACAGAACTGCGGTTCCTTCAGAGTCAAGGTTTAATAACAGGAACAATGGGGTGGGTCCTGTCTGAGAACCAAACACATGAAAACAATCAGATGAGAGAATTAGGCCCCAGATGTAGCCACAGATGTGATGTTAGACTGCTTTTATTCCCACAGCCTGTAAAATAAAACCCTGCGCCTGACGTCTCTAGAGGAGAGACTTTAGCGCTCTTTATTCTGACTGCGTTTCACTTCTCCTCATGCTCGCCTCCCCAGCTCTCACCTTCCTGAAGGGAGGCCATTCCTCCTCTTGCTGCATGTCGGGGTCGTCGCTAGAGTCCTGGGGGTCGTCGCTAGGGTCGCAGTCGGTGTGGAAGACGTTGGCTGTGCCGAGTTTGTACAGCGGAGTGAGAGCGACGCCCGATGCGTCCCAGAAACGCACGGTGCCGTCCTCGTGCCTAGAAACACACAAACATGCATCAAGATTCAAACGTATGTCAGAGCAAATTGATCGGGATAGTGCAGGTGTGTGTGTGTGTGTGTGTGTGTGTGTGTGTGTGTGTGTAGGCTGTCATGCTCGGATCTAAACAGCAACTTAATTTCTTTGCACTGCTCATAAATACACAGTATGGTCAGTTTTTGTTTTGACTGAATTAATGGAGTGGATTTAACACATTTGTCATTTGTGAGGAGTTAGTTTGGTGTTTTTAATTATATTTACAGCATGCTAAAGTTCTAATGTATTGGACAAAGATACATTTACGTTAGAGGTCCAAAGTTAATACAATACATCCTTTGAGGAACACGAATGTTTGTACCGAAATGTCATGATAATCTATTCAATCGATGTCAAGATATTTCACTAATGTGCCCATGTAGTGCATTTTTTTTTTTTTTTTAAAGATGCTTCACCCAGCGTCGTTTTTTCCAGATTTCGGACTTTTTTGTGCGGCCGCTCCGAGAGCTTCTGGTTGAAAATCTCTTTTCAGAAAGGTGCTGTTGTCTCCAGCGCCCTGCCGGCACTTTTCTGCCAGAGACAAACATTATACGAGCATTCAGCCCAACTGTGGTGTCTCCTAAAATTCCAACCAATCCAGCTGTTTTGCTTTATTTACATACTGTAGTTGTGTCTCATTGTACTCCAATGCTAACACTAGCTCTGGCAAACATCTGCAGTTGGCAACATATCGCCAGTTGCCTCAGGATTTCCTTGTTGCCGTTGCAATGCTGACACATTTTCAAGTCCCATGTCGATCCAATTTTATTCAGGATATCCATGTGGTTTACATCAGAAAAGAAAAGAAAATTGTCATGAAAATGTAAAACTGGCTCCACCTGTGGACGCAGCCTGTGACTGTTTATATCTGTGTGTGTGTGTTTGTTTGTTTACCCTGTCAATAGCAGCTCTTGATGTTTGGGTGGAGGAGCGATGTTTTTCCCTCCACAAATGGGCCAACTCTGCACAAACAGACAAAGATTGGAGAAAAGTTAGAACTCTAACACACTGAAAATGTGTAAATATGTCACACATTGAGCCACAACATATCCCCTAACCCTTTCCATGTCATAACGCCGGCTCAAACTGTTCTGACCACGATATAAAGGCCGTCACATATGGAAGAGAACGTGTCCACAGAAACACAGATGTGTTGGGTTTGCTCTGTTATTGTGCCAGTCTCTCTGGTTTGGCTTCACACAGACAGACAGAGATGATTTATGAGCGTACCAGCTGTGTGTCTCTGTGTCTGTCTGTCTGTGTGTGTGTGATAGTGTAATCTGCCACTGATCAAACAGCTGATCTAAGCTACAAAAGCCTTTGCAAAGCCTTTAACTGCTCACACCTGCTCTTAAAGTTAACACACTGTTGGTCACACTCCCGTAGGTTTACTCATAGCCCGTTTAGTTGCCAGCCTGTGAGCTCACATGTACGAGTAGCCCCATGAATACAACCATCCATTTAACTTCAATATCCTTACTTTTAAACCTTAATATTTTAACTGCACTAACTACAGATTTATACGGCCCTCCACTCATGAACGGAGGTAGCGGCTGAGCTTTGATTTGACACCCGACAGCCTTTTGGTAGGAATCCAAATCAAACGCTGTAACTTGAATCTGTGAGCGGGCTGGTTCGTGTGTAAAACGTAAGCGCACTGATCGGTATTGATGGCTACATTTAAAGCATGAGCAGCCTGGCTATTGGCCATACTCTGTTTAAGGTGTTCTCAGGTTAAGCTGCTTTCACGCATCTTGGATTTCCTGTAATTGAATATCTTCCATGAATAAACCAATTTACAGAATAATCCCGTCGTTCGTGGCTTCCTGCCAGCAGTGCACCAGTGACACAGAATGAGAGGATGCTGCTGCCAGCTACATGGTGACGGTGCAGGATGTGATTCCAATACTTGGAAAAGAAATGCAGGTCCTGAGAGATTTCTGTGCAATGATTTTTTGATGACGCCAAAAGAAGTTTGTTTACACAGTCAACAGTCTGTGTGACAAAGTCCATGTTGTATAAAAGATAACAGACAACCTGAAAAGTTTTGTTCAGGCAACATCCACCGAGTCTGAACAGTGAAGCCAATGACTCCTCTGGTTGTATAGAAGTCTATGAGAAAATGACTCTACTTCTCTCTTGATTTATTCCCTCAGTAAACATTGTAAACATGAGTTTATGGTCTCAATCTCTAGTTTCAAGTCTTCTTCAATACAGCATGATGTTCATTTAGTAAATGATGGTCCATTTAAAGTCAAACAGACCATAAAGCAGGGGATATTTTAGGGCGGGGCTACACGTGATTGACAGGTTGTTACCACAGCGTTGTACCCTCTCCTCTCACTTCTGGTCCAAAAAAACCAAGATGGCCACAGCCAAAAGGGAGCTGCACTCGAGGCTTCAAAGCAGCAGTCCACAAACCAACGGGTGACGCCACGATGTCGACGTCCACTTCCTATATACAGTCTATGATAGAGGCTAAAATGATTAAATGTATTGTATCTGGTAAATACTTGTCCCATGTTAAACTACTTGTGTATATGGTTTTAGGACATCATTCGGAGTATTTAAAACATATTGAAAATGTACTGACAGCCACATAAGACTTTTCAGACTTAGCAGTGTGCGTCTCACCCCGTGTGCGTGTTGACGGCCCCGCTGTGCTTTGCCGGCGTTGACCAGCCGCTCCCAGAGTTTGGGCGGGACGCTGGAGACGTGGAAGGAGCAGGTGATGGCTGAGGAGTGGAGAGGAGCCAGGTAGGGAGTGGGCAGTGACGGCCACCCGGGGGTCTGGAGGTCGATCACAACCAGCTCCTCTTCCAGTAGAACGACCACCGCAGACGGTTCATCAAACTCTGACAGAGAGAGAAAACAAGACAGAATGAAGTGCTGGTGCTCCTGAAACGTTTGGGTTGTATTCCACTTTTCATAAGACCAAAAAGGAAGAAAATCCACAGACACACATCATCAATGTTGGCTGGGCTCTGACCTTTCTCTTGCTCGACGCTGTGGACAGTGAAGAAGTCGATGACCCGCGATGTGAAGTCCAGAGTGACGTGGTCTTTGTCCTGCTGGATGGTCAGACAGTGGCGGTCACCGTAGCTGGCTCTGGGCATCCCGCCGCTGTACAACAACACTGGAGACCTGGAGCGAGGCACATAGGAAGAAACATTCATATTCACGTCAATTTGATCAAGAACAACATCGAGCTAGTGTTTCTAATATAGTTAGGCATCATTATTTTCAATTTTTATATTTGTAGACTGGTGATTATTTTATTACTATTTAATCAGAATATTGCTTACGGTAAACGACAGCAAACAGTGTTCTTGGTGCAGAAGACAACTTTTGTATTCATGGGGGCATAAAACCAGGTAAAAATGTATTTATTGTGTAATAAAAAAAAAAAAGAAAAATAATTAAAAGAAAAGACAATTGAAAAGGAAAAAAAAAAAAGAGTTTATCTTAGAGTTAAATAAAAAAAGACAGGAGTAAATATTTACTGCCACTGTGATTAATGTCTAGTCTGACTGCAGGATTCAAATGTGTCACAAAGTAAGTCCCACACTCACCCCGTCTGAGTTGTTCTCCACAGGACCTTGTTGATGGCCTTACAGGGAAACGGACCTGCGGCAGACGATCACAAACAGTAAAGTTAAAAAAAACAGAGCGACGTTGTTCAGACTCAAACTGTTAAAAACTCTTTAAACCTTTTAGATCACGAGAGGACCGACTACCAGGATCCTACGGACCTCTGTCTGAGGTAAACCGTTGTAGAGCCTAAACCACTGTAAGATATTTTATTGAGTCCTTTTAGTGAAATGCTCTGAATGAATGAGAGTTATTTCTTGTGAACAGTGTATATACCGAAGGCTTTTATTGTGAAAGGTAAGAATCTGGTCTGCACTGACTTTGTCACGGTTGAAAGGAGTAATAAAGTTTGTCTTGATTTAGACTACGGAGCCTACTGTTGTACACTATAGTGTACATTTTGAATATGTCCTTTCCACATGTGATAGTTTGAGGCTTTTATTCGCCAAAAAAAAAATCAACCTCGTTCCAGAAAACAATATTACGCAGCTGTTTCGCTGTAAATATTTATGTCCTGTGTGAAAGTTTTCATGAAAGAAAACGTACTATACTGACAGAAAAAATTCCCCCAATGTGTAAAGGCCTTAATTCTCCCCATAATAAAGCGCCACTATGAAACAATATGTCAGAACTCATAGTTCATTAATTATTAGACATCAGAATAGTCTTTGTGGACGAGACCCTCCACCAGACCTGGATGAGATGTGCTTAAACATGCCTGTGTGTGTGTGTGCGCGCACTTCTCACCATATGGGATGCTGGAGGACACTGGCTGGTGATTGTAGGTGTTGCTCTTAGAAACAGCCCACACAGAGTAGCCGCCATCGTTATGAGAACTGACAAATAAGTTTCCAGAGCGTTCCCACACCAGACTCTCCAGCTGCTGCGGGGGGGTCACACACACACACACAGTATAGGCATCACACCAGGTTGCATAGCAGTATTATTACAGCTTATAGATAGTCAGTTAATGTGAATAGAAGAGTTGCATTGCAATAGTTTAGATAAGAGCCAAGTGCATCTTTGAGCAGCTAATAGCTTAATAGCCAATGACTTGGATGACAGTTGAGAGGAGGTGGTGCTCGTTATGTCACTTTTGTTGTCATTACAAAGAGTGAGAAGAAAGGATCTATTTAGAAAGATCTACTGGATTATTTTAAGTATCTTTTTCATTTACGTTATTCCTTTTGCAACTTTGTTTGTTTCAGTGAACACTAACGTGTCCAGAACATGGTGACAATAAAAAAGGATCATACAACATTTTTTTTAAAGTTACAGCATCATGAAATATGAAACATTGTCAGTAAAAGATCTACACCGATGTGCACTAAACTTTGTAAACCAGGTACCTGCTTGCCCAGGAAGAGCTGCTCGGCACGCCGGGTGGTCAGATCCCACAGGACCACCAGGCCTCGGCTGTAGCCAATCAGAAGCTTCCCTGACTGCTGGGGATGTTCCTGAAGAGACTCCACCGGCCCCAAGGACTTCCCACATCTGTAATCATCTGGCAGGCTGGGGACACAAAACATGACCCATTATCCCACATGATGTAAATTACAAAATGTCTACACGGCTAAAAACAAGGTGAAATATTTGTCTATGAAGGAGCGTGACATATTCACAGAGGAAGAAATAATAAATGCTAAAAAGATTAAAAGGTGGACCGACTATTAAAGCAACACTTTGAGCCAAAGAAAGATCGAGGAGGACGTTTGAATCAAAGATAAATCCTTTGATAGAGGCGTGAATTTACATCAGCAAATAACAGATGTTTTGTAATTGTTTCGTTACGTATACTCTGACTTAATGACGACATTTACAATCAATCCTCAACACACACAATGTGAAAGAGGAAGATGATACAAGGAAATGTGTGCTTATTGATAATCCAGTTTGTAAAATAAACTCCGGGGCTAAACAGCAAAAGATATTCTGACGCAGTCTTTCTTTGCACAAAAACAACTCGTAGAAAAAGTGTTCAAACTTATTTAATCAACTTAAAGCTCAAACCATCTGTATAAACTCTGATACAGCCACATGTTGCTCTTCCAACAACAACAACAAGAGTGAAATCAACATGAGGCTGGAGCTAGTGAACTGGACATTCCTCTAAAGGCAGCAGAGGAATGTGGAGCAGGACACACCCTGAAGATGTCAAGAGGATTCCCTCAGCGAAGGACGGAGGAAGAGACAGAAGAAGACAGGAGAGGAAACGGAGTTAATGAGGAGAAAACAAACAAAGTGGGAAAGAAAAAGACTGCAATGCAGCTTTCTGGTCTCTGATGAGGACGAGGCAGAACCATCACAGAAGAGATAGTCAGCATGCATCACACACACACGTTTGACTGCTTTGGTAGCGTTTACTGAGGAAGATCCTCTCCGGAAGCACGGAGGCAGAAACATTTCCGACAAAGCATTCCATTGTTGTCTCTGTCTCTCCGTTCACAAGTATTTTTAGGGAATCCAGCATCCTGCTACAGAGTCCCGGTGATGAGCCTGTGTGTGTGTGTGTGTGTGTGTGTGTGTGTGCACGCTATAGATTCAGCTGAAGCACTTCCCCAACCGGAACACCGTGTTTTGGCAGCGGGTACAAAGCCTCCCTGTCTAAAACCTCCCCTCCTTTGCACACGCAGAAGCGCGCGCACACACGCACACAAGCCTTATCAGGACCCTCGTTAGGCCTCAGTTCTGCCCACTTCCCTAAACAAGCCTGTTTAATGAGGGGTTTGAGCAGTCGGACCGTCACACAGCAGAAAGAAAAAGAAACGCAGTAACTCTGATGTCGGAGCATCAACGCAGGAATGCAGCATGAAAAATTAAGAAACTACTACGTTTACTGCACAAAATAACACCAGACAATATAATAGCCGTGCAGTAATAGTTCCTCTTTCTTTGGGCTGTTTTACGGTGTTTTAACAAGTTATGAATTGAGAGAATTCCTATTTGTTACGTTATGAAAGTTTGTAGAGTTTGAAACCGTGGGTTCGTCTTTATCACATTTTATATTTTTGTCTATATTATCAACATTCAAAGTTAATTTTTGGGGTAAAAAAACAATTAGTTGGTATTGATGAAGAGTTTAAAACTGATCTGTTTCTTCAGGACATTAAATCTAAATCCTGATTGGTACACAAATGTATGCAACATCAATTTTATCCGACTGAGCCCCGCCCACTTCAAACTGGTGTGACGAGCACAGACGAAAACACAAATATAGACATTTCTCATCTGACAGAACCAAAGAGTAAAAAAAACATCTTAAAGTGTTTTTAAAGAGGTCTGACAGTCTATATTTTTACAAGTGAGGCAAGAAAGTTGCTGCTTTTTTAGCTTAAATTGCTATTTTATTGCACTTCACTGGATTCTATTTTATTCACCCAAACCTATTTTATTCACCTTTTCCTAAAAAACAAAACCCCATCTGTTCAAATTCCTATCCAAGATTTAATGCACATATCTAATGCAACAACAATGTCCCAAAACAGATGCTTCATCAGTTCTTTGACAACTTTAACTAAACTAAAGATATTATTAACTTTATCCGATTCAGTGCTCCTCACTCACACATTTAAAAACTTAAATTACTACGACTCAGCAAACTGCACAGTTCACCTGTACATCTCTCCTCTACTGTCCAAACAACGTTCAGGAGATCTGACCGTTCTCATGGTCCCTGAACCACATGACCCTGACCTGCCTGCTGCTGCTGTTAGCAGTCAAGAGGGATATTTGTTTCTGCAAGTTTGTGTGTGTGTCCGACCAGCTCAGCTGGAGCTGTGAGAAGAGGAAACTGGAGTGTTTAAATGAAGACACACTGACAGAGATGAAGAGGCACTTTAGAGCGATTCGTCATATGTATCGATGCAGAATAAAGAAGAGCTGGAATATTATTGTTGATAATGCAGCGATCAACTTTACAAACATATCCACCAACTGTGCGTCCTTTACACTCACCTCTGCATGACCTGATCCTGGAGCAGCGTCTGGTTGTCCTTCAGTGACAGACGGGGCAACTCCAGGAAGTAAACGCCCCCTCCCTCCGTCCCGATGCACAGCAGGTCGCTGGACCTCAACAAGAGGAGGACGGTCACCCGAGTGGCACTGAGAAGAAGAAGAGGAGGAGGAAGAAGAGGGAAAAGAGTGACGCCGTCATTCATTTGAATATGAAACAGAATGGGACAAATTCACCGTGTCTTTGGAGCAAACCACAACTGAAAGTTAGAAAAGACATTTATAGGTGACCGAAAACCGACCCCCTGCTGGTCAGTAGAGAGAATGCAAGTTTAAGGCACTTTAGAATTAACGCGTCACCTCTCATACCTGGAGGTTGCCGCCTGCTTTGAGAACTGTGTCCTTTTAAATTATAATCCGAGCATAATCCTTATCATATCATTAAAACATTGGCTTTGAAATGACGACAACTTCAGGGATTATACATTTAAAAGCAAAAAGATGTATGAACAGGCTTTAACGTACCTGCAGCTCTCAATGCCGGGTCTTCCTGGGAGGCTGTAGCTGTCCACTTCCTCTAGATAGACCACGCCTTCTCTCTTAACCCCTCCCACCTCTCTAGGGGGGCCGGCCACCAGCTCCCACAGGTGAATCGTGTTGTCATCCAGCAGTGACAGCAGGCGGCCCTATCACAGATCAAAAATGAACGTGAGCATCACTTTGGCCACCACTCTCGTCACAAAAAGGAGTCCTTAAATTCAGGGAAATAAGCGTCTTACCTGTCCAGGCAGGAAGTGGATCTGTGTGACGGCAGTGGTGTCTCTGTGTAGTCCTGTGAACTCCACACCAGGAGAGCCGTAGCTGCGAGAGTCCCGTCAAGGAAATTCACAACAAAGCAAGCTTTGATACTGAACAATGAAAAGACAAATTTAAAGTCCACCTTCAGCTGCAAGCGCAGCGACAAACAAACATAACCGGGACTTAATTGTAGTCTATATAACGGATTGTTGGGAATTATTTAGTTTAACCAGGTTTATGCAGTACATTACACAACTAGGAACAATATTTACACATCAATACATCCTGTATATCTGCCACTGTCGTGCTGTAATTGATGGAGAAAACGTTTTCTTTTCAAAATAGAAACTGAAGTGACAGAAACTATGAACAGCTAAACTGGTAATTCTGTGCTGTAAACCAGAAGAAACACACTGGTTAGGTCTAATAGTAGAGGAGAAATTAGAACCCTATAACACCAGATGACGCAGATGCTCATAACCACCACTCTGCGTGTGTGCGTGTGTGTGTGTGTGTGTGTGCGCGCGTCTGTAAGTGTGTGTAATCAGCAGCAAACTTCAGAGTCCTCTCTTCGTTAGTTCAGTAAATGAAGCTCAGCTGATAAAATAAAAAGCTACACTTAAGAACTGTGACGCAGAGTACACAACCACGCTAAATTGGTCTAAATTAGCACGCACGCACGCACGCACGCACGCACACACGCACACACACACAGGAATGTGGATTAAAAATGCAGAAAAATAAGAGGGAATCTGGGGAGTTCCCTCTGGTGTTTGTATTAGGACTGAGTGGAGAGCTGGTTTTATATTTTTTCTACCACCATCGTTTTATATCATCTATTTTCATGGAAGATATAACTACATATATATTTAATTTCCTTCTCTTTTAATTCCTAGTCGTACATCACGTGGCGGGGGTGTTATCTTTCCTACTGGCCCAGGAGGATTTGTTTACAGATCCACTTATCTTCTCCTCCTCCTTTCTTTCCTTCTATCCCTCCACTCTCAACCTCTGTGAGATACAGTGAGGGATTACTCATTCCACAATTTCTTTAACCCTCTCTTTCCACTGCTCTCTAACAGCTCTCTTGTTCGAGGAAAGGTTACTACATGGGGGTCCAGTGGAGTTTCAATACCAACATTTTATCTGCTGCCTTCCTTTTGAAGCTCTTGGTAACGCTCTTCTTCAGACTTCTCTCCACTCTGCTCCGATTCTCAGGTTCATAGAAAACTACGTAACTTTAATTCACACATGTCTCAGCCAGCTGGAGGTGTGTGAGGAACAAACACTCGCGTGACATGAACCAGTCGAGTCCAAGTGAGGGGGACAAACTAAACACAATTAAAAGAAATATCTCATATTCTGCAACAACAACCCGGAGGCTCTGTAGTCAGCACCAAGACGGCAAACTTCACTACTACTTTTAACTTTGACAAAGGCAGCATGGACCAGATCTACTCCTGACATTTACATCTTCCCCTTCACAATAAAAGCTCAACACAAATAATACTCGGAGGCGAGTATTGTGCATTTTGGTGTTTATTCTTCACACCCTCGGTGTGTACAGACCTTTATAAGTGAGAAAACGGACGGGAAAGTAAGTGAAAAGAGTTCCACCGCTGATCAGAAGGAAACCAGATGGACATCAGCGGTTTGTCTGTGTATTCCAGCTATGCAACGATGACCACAACTCAGTCATCACAGATCTATACAGCGACTCCCACACATTTAAAGCTGGCTGTGCAAGAAAAGAGTGCAAAGAAAGCTGTCAGTGCACGGAGAAAAGAAATAAGACCACTAATTACTATTTAAGAGTCAGAGCCGGGACACTTGGCTGATCTGTAGCACCTCTGACAGGAACCCGGCAACTACCATCTCCTGTTTCAAACTTTTTTCATTCCACACAACCCCGAGGAAATATGGCCGACAGGCAGCAGGACAGTCGTAAAGCAGGGCAGAGCTTTTTCTTGCTTTAAGGTCGGAGGGCAAACAAAGTGTGTGTGTGGGATAAAGACGGCGACAAAAAAATAATACAAAAGCTCAACTGTGGCCCATGGCTCTCACACACACTTACTTCCTGGTCATGGTGATGTCAGAGGACAGCTGGAGGAGGGGATTGCTGGTCATGATGTCATTAGTGTGTGTGTGTGTGTCTCCTTTCCCTCCCCCATGGCATCTGCTCATTGGCTAATAATAAAAGCCCTCATTAGTACTGGGCAGATGTTAAATGTGTAAATGCTTTGAACTAAATGCTAAGCTCGGCGTGCTAACATGCTCACAACGACAACACTAACATGCTGATGTGTAGCAAGTACGTTGTTGTCATATCACCAGCTGAGACTCATGGGGACGTTTTTAGTTTTTCTATGCATTTGGTCACATTTGGCGCGAGAGGAAAAGTCAGTGGATCATCAAAGTTAGTACAATTCATTCTGAAGAAGACATGAATATCTGCGCTGAATTTCAACACAATCCATTCAATAGTTGGCGAGTCATTTCAGTCTGGCTCAAAGTGTCATGATGCTAGCGTGACTGAAAACAAAGCAACACTATTTATTTATTTATTGATGTTAAAATGGTAACTGCCAGTTCTCTTCCTCAACTTTTCCCTGATTACACTTCTGATAAACATCCAGGACTTATTGCCTCTTCAGAACATGTCACAAAGATATGCTAATAGATATGTGGATAAAGATAACAGTAATGAGAGACAAAAAAATGCTGCTAATTCTGAGGATGCTTTGCCAAGAACATCAGAGGCGTCTCCCGCAGTTTAAAAACACAGAAACAAAAAGGTTGTAACACTGAAGGATGAAGGACCATTTACTCTGTAAAGAGCTGGAAACACCGACTCAAGGCAAAGTTATTCAAACGCCTCCTCAAACCAATTTAGAAATGAAAAATTTAAAGCATCAATAAAAATGAACCACAGCAGTGAGACAAGCAGCGAGGACACACTCTGTACAGATGGTCTTTGGTGATACGGTGTTGAAATGTTCCTCACAAAGTTCAGAAACAAGAAATCAACACTGGAGACTTAAATCTTTGAGCAACCTGTTGAATGACGCACTGGTTCAACGTGATGATCTGTGCAAGGAAAGCATGAAGCACGCGGAGCTTTGCTGCACTGCTCGCCACAGAAGCCTGATAGCTCACAATGGAGGCCTACAGTAACTCATAATCACTGAATCACTGTCTCTCACACACACACACACACACACACAC